GGAGATGTTGTACGAGGTGCTCTAATGGATGTTGTCGTGTAATGGATGTAGTATCCTTATACCCAATCAGCACAGAAATATTGCAGCAATATAGCAGCAATATTTATTTGCACGGTTGCAACATTGCAGCAACGGTAAAGTGTCCGCCTCTAGAAATATTGCGATGCAATATTGCAGCATTATTGCAATTTAATATAATACATTACATTGTAATATATTGTTGCAATATTGCATCGCAATATTTCTAAAGGCCGACATTTTTATATAATATTCGTTATTAATAATATTCGTTATTATAATGATGCATTACATATTTATTTATGTAATTATTTTTGCTATGTGTTTATTATTTGTATACATATATGGTATATCCTTGATAAAAAGCATCTTAGAAATCAGTCTCTTTTTACAATGTGATTCAACATCCATAATATATCTATGAATATCATTCCAATCAAAAGAATGACCAAATTGATTGCAATGTTCGGACAATACTGAATTCCTTGCTGGATTACCTTTAATATCATGTTTATGTTCATTAACCCTCGTGATCAACTTTCTTTTAGTTTGTCTTACATATGACGCATCGCAACAATTATAATTTACTTTATAGACAACGTTATTCTTTTGTATCTTATGAGTATTATCTTTGTGGACTTTAATGATTTTATTAAGTTTATTAATATATTTCTGATTTCTATAGTAAAAACATCTCTATTTAAACTAGATATAATAGAATTCGTAACTTTAGGAATGTACGGTAATACAAATAATTTTTTGTTCGGGGGAACATTATTAGTATTTTGATTTTCCGTATGTGTAGACTGTAATTTAAATTTCACTAACAAATCAATTCTTTTCTATATTGTAATAAATATCAAATCTATAGGATAATTGTTGTTTAATAACGTCGTAATACAGAATTCCACGTTCTTGATGTGAAATTCAGAATTTGAAAATAATAATGCTCTATCAACTAAGCCATATACCATATAACTCCAATTTTTTGAGACAAAAGATGATTTGATAAAAAGGATAAGTACCTTCCAGAAAATGAATTATTATGATACCAATCTAGTTTTAAAGTACCATTATCTCTATAAATTGTTAGATCTAAATTGTCTTTAAGTACAGATCATGTTTTAATTTATAATGTTCGTTCGAAGGAAGAAAATTATACAGTATCTGATCTACCGTAAGTTTAATATATATCTATTCATTTATAATTTACATATTTTAAGTTCCTGTTTTAATGTGACGTTAATGATTATACTTAGAATCATGATACGGATGATTTTCTTATTTCGACTGTAAGAGACAATATTCATACATTTACTTTCGACTTGAGTGACAATAAATTGACCAATTGACCATGGCTTCTTGTATTATTATTATAATTAATTTGTTAATGTTCATGTTATTATTTAAGATTGAAAAGGACTTCGTATAAGTCGAAACGTTTCTCGTTATAATTTTATTTTTAACTTTTAATGTATAGAATTTAATAAATATTGTCAACTTTATTTCGGCTTGTTTTATACCGTTAATTTAATATCGTAATTTGTCGTTTTTTGAAAAAAAAAATGTGTACATTTGTCGTTTCGAAGCTACCTGTAATACATTTAATTCGCAATAGTGTTTTCTTCCCTGCTGCGTCTACCTGAGCGCGATCGGTGCGTATCAGTTTCCGTAAATTTTCACGCAATTATCCAATCGCAGCGCGAGTACGATCTATTTATACGCAATCGGTGCAGCGTTCGATCAAGGTCAAGCGACGAGATACTTTTTCCTATTATTCATTTTGCATAATGAAGCAATCGTCGTCGTGTATTATTTTTTTCCTCGTTTTAAATTTAGTTTCTATAGCAATTATTCAATCGCAACGCGAGTGCGATCTATTTATAATTTGAACGTTGCGCAATCGGTGTGGCGCTCGATCAAGGTCGATCGCACGTTAAGATGCGTCTAGACTATCGAGCAGTGATGCACATTGGGGTCCCAGCACGCTGCGTTCGACTAGAGACCCTTATGACACATTCGATACATATGCACTGACACGGTTCTAGTGCTGCCCTGACACGATGTTGCCCTGATAGGGTGCTGCCCTGACACGGAACGAATGCAAAACTACACTCTAATTAATAATTCAATTAATAATTTAATTTTTAATTAATAATAATAATAATAATAATAATTTAATTTTTTTGTTTTTAATTAACTTCCGGCCTTTCTTCTTTTATTAAACATAACATATCTTCATCATCACTACTACTACTTGTTTCTAATAATTTATCTATAATAAATAATAGTCTTTCTTTATCCATTTTGTAATTTTTTGCTACCTAACTAGTTTTATTTGTCCGTACACTAAACTGCACTGGCAAAAATGTCAGTGCAATATTTCTTGCACTTGTTCGGTTCATTCGATTCGTCCGAATACAAATTCAGCACTACACTAGGTCAGTTTTCATTTGCCGAATATGATAATCTAAGCGCACTGCAAAATGCAAAATGTGCAAAATGTGCAAAATGTGAACTCGTTCGAAACTGACCGCACCATGAATAACAAAATACTAGATGGGCATGCGCATTTTCATTTCGGCGGGGGCAATTTTACCCGTTCCCAGTCTGTCGAATTCGCCATTGAGAACACTGGTGCGCACTAGTGCAGTCTGTCGAATTCGCCATTGAGTCTCTACGTTCGGCTTGACTCGGCTAAGAGAGCGCAACAGCACGACTGTCTGTCCTTCAGCCTCCGACGCATGCACACTAGCCGAGCGCGAGCGAGATGGCAGACGCATGTCACGATCGGACCCTCTCGCTCGTCCGCTTGTCGCGAGCGGCTGAAAATGTTTCTCGGCCGGCTCAGCGTGCCGTGTACCGATATAAAGGATGAGAGGACGTTCCATATGATATATAAATTTAAATAAATTTTTGTAATCGTATACCTTTCCCATTAATCCACAATGGCATAAATTATGTCAAAATGCGATAGTTTACGAGATATTAATTGTTTACAATTTCCCATGCGAGTAATATACTTCGTTTATAAGAACGATTTATAAGTACTCTACATGGTCGAGCGCGTAAGGTGCGAGACTAGAATGCTGGAGATCTTATGTTCAAATCTTTTAATTTTTTTCCCTCTATTTCATTTTTTTTTTTCTAAAATAAGTACAGTTATTAGTAAACATATTATATATATATATATATATATAACGACACCTTTTATCTCCTTATGTGGAGCATAGGACGTCTATAGACCTTTTTTGTCCGAGGCTTATATTCGTTTCTCGAATCAGATAGTTTTTCTGATTTGTGGGTGATTAGTCCACAGAATCCTACCTCAGTTAGATATTAGAGACAAATATCTACTGATATACTACTGATGTATAGGACCTACAGTTTTTAACGCCGAATCCGAACGGCGCTGATGATCATAGATCTTTTGATCACCAGGTGGAGCCATTTTTTGGCTCATTAAACGCGAAAAATCATCGCGTTTGGGCGCACGTGGGATTGAACTCGGGTCTACAAATCGCAATCAAGGCCACGCGCACTTTGGAGATAACCGTCTGACGAAATACGTTGCGACCTCGCGACATTTTCTCCCGTTATTCACTTCGCATAATTTTATTTCGTAGATTGTACAATGATAACAGTAAACGGTATGACCAGCCTGTTTCTCTCTATGTCGTTTATACGGATGGATCGTTCGTCGGAAATCGATGCTGAAGACTCCTGGACACGGTATACAGCGCGGTAAAGATCGCTGGTCCCACAAAATTCAAAGGGCGACGCGGTACGCGTGAGTAAGTACAAGACGATTTTTGAGAAGGATTACACGCCAAATTGGACCACTGAAGTGTTTAAGATTGTTAAAGTACAGCGTACCAATTAATCCCGTAACTTACCTACTAGAGAACTATCGTGGAACATCCGTCGCTGGAGCGTTCTGTGAGCACGAGTTGCATCACGCTACTCATCCAGGCATGTATCTCGTGGAGAAAATACTGCGGAGAAAGGGGGACAAGGTGTATGTACATCAAGTACACTTTAGCTGGGATTCGATGGATTGCACAATTCATGGATAAATAAAACCGACGTCGTTTGAATTACTTTTTTTTATTCATACAAAATACATAAAAGTATAATAAGAATATCATTGTCGTTCTTTATTCTTTCCATATGCGTAATTATTTTTTATAGAAATTATAAGTACATGAAATAAGTACAAAGAATATGTAAAAACTACGCAATGTTATAGCCCAAACGACTATCACAAATTATTTCATTTCAACCGGCATAGCAACCAGCACCGGAAATGCAAGGTTGCACATTTCTTAAACCACGCGATCGCGCTAGAGGCGTAATGAATATTACCATATATGGTCCGATCGAAGACAAAAGCGATATCATCAAACTCATTATAAGCGACTGCCAAAATGCGGAGCGCAGAGTCTTGTCTTAAATCTAAACGTAATGACACGTTACGCGCGTCGCGAGTAACCGAGTCACGTAACATGCGCGATAACGTTGTCGCCCGATCGGTTTAATCATATAGTCACGAGCGCGATTACTAAAATAAATTGTAATAAATTGTAATAACCATTCGAATCTACCTCGATACCGAGAAATTGTAATTAATTAATACAATTATTAAATAAAGTGTAATCAGTTATTAAAATTATAAAATAAAAGGGGTTATTTTAAATAAAAAGTGGTGAAGTGAATGTTTGTTCGACGACCTTGTTCATTATCCTCGTCTTTCCTCGTGGGTTCCAACCCTTTAAGCTTTAAGCGGACCGAATCCCAAAATAATATCTTGTTGCACCGAGAGGTACAACAGCAAGTACAATGAATGCAAAAAGTAAAGTATAAAATACATATATAAAAAAGTACATTAATACAGTAATACATAAAAAAAACGTATATAAATGTACAAATACATTAATGTGTAAAATATAAAAAACGCATATGGAATTCATAATACACTTGTATTACAATGGTATCCGCCAATGTCCCCACGGTAACGTCTCCGTCGAGTCTGGTACGACGTATCGTTTGTCGTCGTATGGACTCAGAGCGACTTTCTTTTCGGACACCGTATACACTTGGTGTAGCTTCGATCTTATACACGACTGTCTGCGCGTCATTTCGATCTCTTCGTTCAAGCATCGGGTGTAATCGTCGAACGTTATCGTTCGCGCTACGGCGCTGCTCTTTACACCCTTTGCCTTCTTCTTATCTTTCTTCCCGTCTACACGCAACGCGTACATCTTCGCTCTGAGTCCAACGAACTCGGTCATTATCGCGCCGTTGTTTTCGTCCTTCATCAGGCCGGGCACCTTCTTATTCACGAGAGGCATACCGTACGCGTTGTCCGTCGGATAATCGCTCGTATCGAACCTAGCAATATCGCGTTTCATCACCGCGTAGACATCGTCGCATTCGATGCGATAAATAAGACTGTCCGTGTCGGTGTACATAATTTTACAATTTTCATTAAACATCGGTAACATGTACTCGTGGTGAAACTCGTACAAGCACGTTTTCGATATATCCAGGATGCACATACCCACGTAAATCGGCTTGTCGAATTTCACCTCGAGTTTCCTCAATTCGACCGCTATCAGGTTTTCCGCGAAGACGCTGCGGCTGTGGAAATTCGGTTTCGCGATCATTGCTTCCGCCCCGTACCGTCCGTCCCATGTCGTTATTAGTTTGACGTCGACGTGATTTCGAACGTTTTCCATCGTTTTACCGAATATCGCGTTGTTCATTAATTTGTACAATTTCTTCTCAAAATCGCTTCTCGTGCTCGTACTAAACTGTGTATTGAGTTCGATGTAATTGCGGAGCCAGGCGGATTGAGCAAACTGCAACACTCGATGAACCTTCGTAACGCGAAGGCCATGACGTGTACATTGCTGAAGGCTGCGGTAGTGGATGACGTAACGTTGCTTATCGTACAGCGTCGCGAGCAATTTATCTTCGCGCTTGCCGGGCGGCTTATCGCGCGTCGGGCAGAACGGCAGGTCAGTGTGCGCGTCGTGAAGATGCTGCGGATACTCTAGATCGACCTCGAGAATGCAGCCGATGGGCGAATCCGGAGCGATTGCGCTCGCGTCAAAGTTCGCAGCGTCTTCGACCCATCGAAAGTCGGCGTAGGGCAACGGTTGACACATCGCCCATCCGTATAGATCGTTCACGTCATAGTACATCAAGTACGACGACGGTTTCGATAGATCATACGAACGCATGTATTTGTTATTGGCCTGCGCGTATCTACCGGAACATTGGCTGAAACCGCCGCGAATACCGCGCTCGATGAACATGATCATATCTATGTCGGTGAGCAGCTCGAATTTTACGCGCGTATATTTCAGCATGGCGTCCCACGTGAAACCGGGCAATGTAAAGTAATGCGCGGGATCTAAACTGTAACTCGCGACACAACTTTCGCGAAAATTTTCGAAAACGTCAGCCAACAACAAGACGTCGGTTTTCAGGTACAGATCGCTGTACTCGCCGAGCGTTCGTACAGAGAATCGCTGCCATACGTTCGCGGCGTGAGCGTAATCGCTCTCGGACACGGTCTCGCCCGTTAACGAACTGTGAAAAGATTCGCGCGGTGGTAGATGCGTGTCATCCAGTTTTTCAACGCAGTCAACGTACTCGTACGGAAATACGCCTTTACGAGTAAGCAGATTGAAATCTTCGTCTGATAGATTCGAAAATTCGGAACGTACAATTTTTAATTTATCCTTATCGAGATACGACGCCAATTTATTTAGATTCACGTTCAAAAATTTATAAGAATCGATGAATCGTAATTTAATTGCATTTTTCTTAATATTCTTTTCATTTTTCTCTTTCGTACTGTCGACATATTTCGTAAACAAAGTGTACTTTTCTTTCGTTATCGAAAGTGCTTCTATTTGTCCATCATACGCGGTAGCTATTTCTTTAATTATAAAGTGCGAGTCGTAGCCCGATAGGTTGTGAAATACGACCGGAATGTAAAACGAATTTTTATAATTTAAATTGCAGCCCTCATGCGCTGGACCGCGGTATCGTCCGGTGAGGTGACAATGGTCGCGTACCCGCTTTTCGTTCGGCGCGAACGGTTTCTCGCACACGTGACAGTGCGTCGCGCTACGGTACGCCTCCCATTGTCCTTTGGATAACGCTTCCATGGGAACGTTAACGGATACTCTATCTTTCACGCGATGCGCCAAATCTCTGAGTTCACGCGCGAACCACGCGACGCAATTCTTATCGCGACGGAACCGATAAGCCGATGACGCGTTGTCGTATGAGCACCGCACGTAGTACCCGATGCTGAATACCTCGTGCTGCTGATACGCGTACGACGTCGATGACGTAGCGTCTTCGGTATTTCGCAGCACGCACTCCAGGTCAGCGTACACTACAAAAGGAACGCGCTCCTTCCTGCAGTGGTTGCGAAATTCGAGCCACTTCTCGTTCTCGCTCGGCAGTCGGATAGCGCAGTCGTTCATCCGACCGCATTCTATGATGTGTGACTGCAATCTCTCATTGGAATAAAAATAGTGTAGACATCTGAAAAAAAATTTATTATTAGTAAATACTTATATTCTTTTTTCTTTCTTCTAAAAAATTCATTTTTCTTATTATTACACTTACCGATCGCAGAAAAATACTTTATTCTTATTTTTGGTGAGTTGTGATCTCATGAGTCGGGACAGATCCATAATCCACGCGAAATGGCCGAGGCTGCCGTCATCGTCGTCGTGGTGTGGATGTCGTTTTACATCTTGTAAATATAATAGATTGACGTGTTTCTCCTTATTGTCGTCGGTGAGCCGAAAAGGAAGGATCTTTTCATTCTCGATACCATATACATTAATCGAGATATCGTTGAGACGTTCAAATTTTTTAATGTCTTTGAACGTCATCGGAAACACAATGTCTTTGAGATTCAGTACCTTTGCGTAACTCGGATACGACGATGTCTGATTTACATTACTTTCAGCTGGATACAGAGCAGCGACCACCGACCACGCGAAGCACTCATTGTCTCTGGATTGCACGTTAACCACCGCTTTCTTATTTTTAATTTTCGGCGGCACTTCGATGCAGCATCCCGCGTGCATAGGATTCAGTTTGTTCACGTTAACGATTAAATTGAGGATTCGCGAGAGCGCCCATCCGCTGTCACGCTCCTGGGACTCTTCGAGTGACATTAATGTAGACTCGATGACGTGCCGCTCGTACCACTCGCGCAAATCGGTGTATCGATAGAGTTCACAGTTTTTCGAGTTTATACTGATAACGGTGCGTTTATCGCCCGCTACGAACTCGCCGTTGAACGCGGTGTTCACTTTCACGCTGCCATGTCTCCCTACAGAGCCTCGCACACGCTCGAACACTACACTGCTGGCGTCTTCCAAGAACTGTCGTGGCTCTATGTGTCCAGAGTTTATCACCGCACCGGTCAGAACACGACTCTCGAACGCGGCGTCGATCTCGCGCCATACGAGAGATCTATCGTTCTTGTGATCGATGTACTCGTCACCAACGTGCACGAACCGTCGCTCCAATTGAGTCCTCGCATCCGCGAGTCGAGCGATCCTCACCACCGTAGACTGTGACTGTCTGTGCTCGACGGCGGCCCGCGAACGCTTGGCGCGGCAGAGTTCTTCCAAGTTCTCGATGCACTCGTCGCATCGTCGCTTCCCCGCGAAACTGCACTCCATGAAGGTAGCGGCGCGGTTGCACTGCTCCAGCAGTTCGCGTTCTACTCGCTCGTGGTTTTCAATTTTTTTCACACTTTTTTTTAGAAAAAAGTCACACAGAGCACTTGACTCTCAAATACTTTGCGCATAATATTCTCGAGGTGTTCTATGTCCTCGTTATTTCTCACATCTTACTACGATTTTTCTTCTTCTATTTAATTAATAGCTCCCGCCTCCAAACAATGAAATAGGAGGTCGATACGGCCAGATCACGTCTTTATTGTAAATTGTAATTGTTTATGGGAGTCCTAGTCGTCCAAAAATGTAGAATGACGAACAATAGAGACGAGCCCATTCGAAGGCACACATCGTGTTCTTCTTAATTTATGGCTCCACGCCTCCAAATAATGGAATAGGTCGGATACAGCCAGATCACGTCTTTAATGTAAACCGTAAAAATATGAAAAACGAACGGGTAATACGATACAATGCACAGTCGAAGTCGGCAACACTTTCAAAAATATAAGATAGAAAGCACCCGACCGAAACGCGTCTGCCGCGGCCGAGTGGTTCTTCGGAACTGTCTTACTGCGATTAACTCAGCGAAAAAAAAGATAGAATAAAGATTTCAGCGTGTCGAGCGCCCCGAACGAATGCTCTTTAAGCCCGTATCACACTAGCGATTGGAGATTGCGTTTGCGTTCGCGATTGCATTTTCAACCAATCAGACGAGACCTACTGGCCGAGCAGCTTCTTTTTGATTTGTTAAAAGCACAAACGCGAACGCAGACGTAATCTCCAATAGTGTGATACAAGCATTACGTCTATGAGCGTCTTAGTATGTTCCTAAGCGTCAAGCGGCATTTGGATTGCGCGCGAGGTGAGGGGAACAGCGGTAGGCGGGAGTCGATTCGAAAATCAATTTAGTATAAAACAACAAAAACAAATTAAGTGATTTCGACGATGTCAGATAACGTATTATTAGATAACAGATAATTTATTATCTCTACGTATCTATTACGTTATCTGACATCGTCGAAATCATTTGCTTGGTAACAATTCGTTTGCAAACTTACTCAGATTTCTAAATGTAACGGTTTTATAACTATGATGAGTATCTCCATTGTCTGCATTATTCTTTATTATTTACGAATTTTCCACATTTTATGTAATAAGACTATGTTTCTCTTATTTAAAGACTTTTAATATATTTTACCACTTCGACTATTTTAATTTATGTACTCGCAACAGTAAAGGATATGAGGACTGCGTTACCGAAAAATTTTGCAGATGACAAATAGTTTCATTATTATAATTTACTGTAACATTGATAAAATTAGATCGGTTTGATTCAAAATAATAAAAAAATTACAACAAAAAACATTTGTTGTAATTTGTTTATTATTTTGAATTAATATTTCTTTGTTACACATCTGGCTGTTAGCCCTTCATTTGTCGTTTGTAATAATAAAGCACATACCTTGCAAGGATGTTGTCTTTTATCTTTGTGCTTCGAATCCACATGAATTTTTTTCACATTCATTAGGTACATAATAACATTAATTATTGAAATGAAACACAAATTTGTGCTGTTTTAGAGAGTGAATATATCTATAAACTTACCGTTGCAATATTTATCATTTGTTACTACAGAATTTAAGTATATAGAATGAATTACCAAATAATTCCTTTTATTTTTGATATTCACTGAAGTACACTTAAACATATCTTCACAAAACTCACAACAAAAAGGTTTTTCGCCTGTATGGTATATGAGATCTTTCATGTCTATGCAAATTTGTTTGGTACTTAAATTCTTTATTACATGTTCCGCATTTGTATGATACACCTCCAGTATACATATAGGTCCTTATTAGACTTGTAACGTTCATCGTTGTTATGCTTTGTAATCACATGTCTTCTTAGGTGTCCTTTTAGCCTACAAATAATTGACCATTGTAATATTTATTATTTTTTATTAGTTAATTTAATCATTGATATTGAATTACCAAAGTATTTTCCAAATTATTGTATTGTTTGTGTTATTTACTTAAAAACCAACCTAAATATCTGTGCACAAAACTCACAATGATAATGTTTTTCGCCTTTGTGAATTCTCTCATGACAACGCAAATCGTTTTTAAGTTTAAACCATATTGACCACACGTTCCAAATATGTATCTAATTTCAAAATTTATATCTCTATTATTCCGATTCGTATTTGTCGGGGAATGAGAAATCTTAATATTAAAAAAAGCTCTTGTTATGAAATATACATGAAAATAGTAACATGAATCTTATAATTTTTCAAATACACTACTCAACAAAATTAAAGCATCACTTGCAAAAACAGGCAAACTTCCAAATAGAATAACTTTGTCAAAAGTCATCGTATCAAAATATTTAAAAAAAACCATTTTAAATCATGAAATCTTTACTTTTTACATCGGCACTTCAAAAACTGTCTTGCTGATATTTCATGAAGTTACAATATTACAAATGATGATTCAGTAAATCTCAAAATTTTATACGAAATTTTTGAAGTTGCACGGCGCGAAATAAAAATTATGCACAAATGGGTTTTACAGCTTCCGAAAGATTGATTCGTTTTTTATATGTAATCTTCTTTTTCGTCGACCACTGTACAATTTTTTTCATCGATTTATTCAACGTTGAAGCAAAACAGATCATTTTTACATCAATAATCAATAATTAATCACGCGATCGCGCCTCTAGCGCGATGTGATGAATATTACCATAATATAGTCCGATCGAAGACCAAAAGCAACATCATCAAACTCAATATAAGCGACCGCCTAATAGCGGAGCGCAGAGTCTTGTCTTAAAATCTAAACGTAACGATACGTTACGCGCGTCGCGAGAACCGATCAGTCAAGGCCATTCTACATAAGACGCAGAACACAGGTCGCGAGTGAAACGTATTTCAGATTGTGATAGGTTGCAGACCGAAATATGAAGGACGCAGGGCGCAGGACACAAAAGTTGAAATTCACCCAACTTCCTGCGTCCTGCGTTCTACGTCCTACAACCTATTATAACTAAAATATGTTAGATTAGTTTCTAGTCTTGTGCGAACTGCGTTCTGCGTGTTGCGACTTATGTAGACGCGCCTTCCATCCGCGATAACGAGTGTCGCCGACCGGTTTGATATAAGTCACGAGCAAGAATTTTAAATCAATTGTAATCAACAATTCGAATTGTAAAATAACAAATTAACAACTGAAGTGTATTCATTTAATCGAGTAATTATATTAATTAAATAAAGGGTTACGATTACTTAAATAAATGTAATCAGTGGTAATAACCATTCGAAATTGTAATCAATTATAAAAATTGTTATAATAAATAAAAGGGGTTATTTTAATAAAAGTGTGGTGCAGTGAGTGTTTGTTCAACGACCTTGACCATTTTCCTTGTTTTCTTCGTGGGTTCCAACCCTTTGAGCGGATCGAATCCCGAAATAATATCTTGTTGCACCGAGAGGTACAACAGTTGTATATAGATGAAGAACAAATGATACGTTTGAATTTGAAATTGTTTACTGACAAATAAGCATGTCAAAGTTTTGGGAACGACTTATCCAAGATCTTTGTATGGATATATCTATTATAAGTTATAAGTGTTCATATAGTTAAACTTACATACTTACATACAGTGAAACCTATGAATACTTACAAGCGATTCTTTCGAGAACCAACAGGACATTTTGCATTATAATTTCAGAAATCGTGTGAACTGCAGAGAGATGTTCTTTAGGAAAATTAAAAAAACCCATATTTTCCATTTTCCCTTAAAAAATGGTCTAACCGTGGTATTAATTTAAATTACAAAATATAGAGAAAATGAAATTACACTACACGAGCTACACGGTTCGCTCCAGCGAAAAACAAAAAATACAGGTTAATGTATTTTCCTAAAAAACACATTACACACACCGTAATATAAGCAATATTAGAGACCTTGCAGCAGAATGTTATGTCGATTTTCGTAAAAATCGCCAATAACAAACACACGCACGCACGCACATTCACACACACACACACACATGCGCACATGCACGCACGCACGCTTGCACGCACGCAAGCAGGCACACATACAGATACACACACACGCACTTAACCAAGTAAAAATATCGATACTACTAGATTAATATTGATATTTATTTCAATTTATGTAAATAGCACCTTCGTAATTAATTTCTGTTGCTTGATATCTAAAATTATGAGGGAAATAACAGAAGAAGAAATAAAGAAGGTAATCGATAAGCTATCCGCTGCTTAGTTCGTATTTAATTCAACCAAGTGATGTCGGTGATAATCTATGTATTTTGTGCTATGCACACATACCTATAATATACAGTCTGTTGGTCAATGGATCAGTAATGGCTGCGTTCATTAATCTCAACAGTTAAGTGCAAGCTCATTATTATTGGTGTTTTAGATTGTTCAATCAGATATTTAGATTTAGAAGAACACAACAATAATATTTAGCGCTATTCTCTCAATCAATGAGTCTCTTGAACTCAGTTCATAATTTACATCCGTAATGTATCGAAGAAGAAAAGAGAGATCAGTGTCGCATTATTGTTATCAAGATTTCTGAATATTGCAAAGTTGTTACGTTCTAAAGAAAAAACTACTTCGCAACTGAAGTATTTTTTAATATCATTTTATTATAAAAATATTCAGATCCAAAGAAACTTGAGGACAAATGCTAGTCATATATATGTTAATATGTACGTTAATATGTATATATGATATATAGTATATATATAATAACAGTAATAATATACATACGTTTCTTTTCCACATAATCTAAATATACATATACACACATATACATATATATGTATGTATATTTGAATTATGTGGAAAAGAAACGTATGTATATTATTACTGCTATTATACATACATATATATATGTGTGTATATGTATATTTGGATTATGTGGAAAAGAAGCGTATGTATATTATTTTACTATTATTACAGAAGACAGGGACT